TAACATGCTCATATTTAGCAAGAAGGGGAACATAAACCTGGTGAGTGCTGAGCAGATTCTTCTCCAGGACTTTTTGCTATTATTTGCTCTGACCCCCCAAGCTCAGTTCCACTACTGCCCACTTCCTCCCCGAGGGAAGGTGGCTTGTCATGGCTGTTCGTTTTGCCTCCTCACTGTGTCCAGTTTTCCTTCTCGGCATTTGAGCAGGCCATTCCCCCAGTCCTCCCCATTCTCAAATTCCTGCACCCTCCACCTGCAAACAGAGGACAGCAATAAGAACACCTTCCTGATGATGCTGGTATTTAGATGTAATGAGGCCATCCACTGCCCACTCAAACTACAGAGTGCAGAGTACCGCATGCCATCCATTTTTTAAGGCCAGCCGGGGCTAGACTCTGGCTTCTATGATACCTTCTTCAGTTACTCATTCTCTCTCTCTCTCTCTCTCTCTCTCTCTCTCTCTCTCTCTCTCTCTCTCTGCTTTTTTTTATGTGTCATGAAAACCTTGCCTTTTTATTTAATTTTGGGTGTAAAATGGACAAATACATTAATGTGTGAATTCTATGACCAATACATACATTTTACAATGTTACAAATTGCTCATCAATAACAAATTATACTCAATTTTTATATATGAAAGTTAAGGGAAGAGGATATAGCCCTGTGGTTGAGGGTTTGCCTAGCATGCCCAAGGCCCTGGTTCAATTCCCAGAAAGTTAACACAAGAAAAGAAGGAAGTTAACTCAAACTTTTTTCTAATAAATTATTTCACACAGGTATATGCTTATGAAGCTATTTAATTGTTTAAACTGTGTTAGAGAACATATTTTTTTTAAAAAATTCATTGGATTCAGTCGCAATAAAGATGATTTCCAATGGGAATTTCTAACACTAACTTGATTGCTGAAAAAAAATTTTATCAAAAAAAGGAAGTTCTGCTAAGTCTACGTATTATGTCAAAATGTATCTTTTCAGTTATGTTTTAAATTATAACATTTTTTAAAAATTGGTTTCATAAGTATTAAAGACATTTTTAATAATTTTATACATAGTTTTAGAACATGTTCTCCAATGATCATTTTTCTAATTAAGACATATAGCAGACCTATGCTTACACATAGATTTTCTCTACACAGTGGAACTTTTTTAAAGGAGAATGGCATAGATTATGTAAAAGCTATGGCTCTCCAAAACAAAGCAAAGCAAAAAAGGACATTTAATTATGCCTCTAGATTTTTACACTTTAGTTTTATTTTATTTCCTTGTCTTTTTTAAAATGCTAAAAATCTATGATCTTAAGGTAGCATATCCCTCTTGACAAGCATAATTGACCGATTTTAATACTTAGGTTTGAGAAGTAATTACCTAATAAAGTAAAAACTTTAAATTTTTATAAGGAAGTTAGTCTTGCATTGTCCAAAAATTTTAAAATTTGGCTTAAAATTCAATGGCAGTGAAAACACTAACTTTCTAGACAAAATGGAGAGCCTCTCAAGACAGCTGCTTAAGCAGCCGCGACTGGGACTAATCAGTATAGCAGGAGTCAGGGGTTAAGGCCGCTTTCACCAGCTTGGTCTCGCCGCCATGTGTAAGCGGGACCACAGTTGTGTAGCACTTGTTCCTGTCGTGAGTGTAGCAGGTCTCCGGCACGCTGTCTTCCTCACAGAGGTTGCTCTGTGTGGCAGTAACTACCTGATTATCCAGCTCCACTTCTACGAGATCACATTTTTTACAGAGGTCAGACAAATGGTATACAAAATTGGTTCTCCGTGGTGAGGTGGGATCAGAGATATTTTCCCTGCTGTTCAGAGGAACAATAATCCGGATGCTTCTCTCCACAATGTCTTCATTAGGGTTTTCAGAGGAACGGGTGACCCTGGAGGTAACCCATGCACACTGACATTTATTGTCGGCAAGGACGGTCCTTTCATCTTCATCTTGGGCTCTGCTGTACTCACACTCAGCGCCTCCCACATCAAACCCTTTCTTAGCTTTTCAAGTCAGGGTATCTCTGTGTAGTTCAGGCTGGCCTTCAGCTCACTCTGTAGTCTAGGCTAGTCTCAAACTTGTAGCGATCATCCTGCTTTAGCCTCCCAAGTGCTGGGAATACAGGTGTGTGCCACCAGGCTCAGCTCAGGTGCTTATTTTCTAAAAACTTACAGTACTCATAAGTCTCAACGCTATGACTATTCAAACAAGAAATCATTTCAATATTTGTCGACTGTGCCAGGTGCTCTAAGTGTCAGACCGGTGGAGTTCTCTGCTGATCTCTGTCTCTTCTCCCTGCTCAGTGACTAGTTCAGTCAAAAAACTAGCAAGTGGTAGAACTGGGTTTCAACTCCAGGCCTGCTTAAGGTGAGGGTATAAGTTCTTGTTTTTCCAAAACATCTGTGTGCCGTTCTTCACTTTAACTGAGTGAGGCAGGCCTATACCGTTGGCCTACTCTACCTAGAATTTGGATAGACACTTGTGAGTAGAAAGAGGCTCTGGACCAGTGACATTTTTGTCTCCAAATCAAGGAGATTCTAGTGTTTCAGCTGACAATAGAGGCAAAGTGATGTTCATTCTTCATGACTGGGATTGGAAATGAGGGCTTCTGGGTAGCAGTGGAGCATGTAGGGAGGAGGATTCACATGGTCTGGACTTCGTAGTCTTCAGGGATGAAGGCACCCTGTTTGGATGGCTCCTTAGAGTGAACAAAGAGCTCATCCATTTGGACCTTGGCTGCTGACTACAGTCACCTATAGAGCTGGTATTATTATCTGTTTTATAGGCCAGGAAGCAAAGGCCCAAGGAATTAAATGCCCAAGCTGTGGGGACATGAAAGGAAGGACCCAACATTCAAAGCCAGGCTTTCAAATGCTCAGCACAAGGATCTTCTTACCAGACCACACTTACCTCCTGTCTGGGCCTATGCGCCTTCTCCATAACACCCCAACTTCCCTGCCGATCTCTGTCTCTTCTCTCCACTTTGCTCTCTCTGCCCATTCTGTCCCTACCTGGTTCAGAATCCTCACCTTCAGGCAGTTTCTAACACTAGTGCATTCCATTCCTGGCCCCCTTCCCCATTCCTTCCTCTGGTTCATGGTTTTCTTCTTACTACTGAGACCTGGTTTCATTCTTTTATCAAACATCCTCAAAAGTATCAGGGTTAGGAGTAGGGATGTGTTGACCAGAGGTGCCCAGGAGCAGGGTGACCAGAGCTTCTGCCTTATCTAGGACTGTCACAGTCTAAGTACTGAGAATGCCAGGCAAGCCTGGACAGTTGTTACCCTCCTAGGATCTGGGAGCAGCTGTATTTATACCTGCAGAGGATATTGTGCACATCCTATTGGTTTTGTATTTCATGGCACTGACTTTTTGAGAAATAGGCACTTTAACTCCTTTAGCAGCTGAGGCTGTAGAGTAGGAGCTGGCCTGAGACTGCACAGCTACAAAGGAACAGGGATGGGAGCAGAAACCAGCTCTGCTGCCTGCGCTTTCCACACTCACTCTCTCTGCCAGCCAGCCCACAGTGTCTCCTGGAGATGACCCACTAACAGTGACTGGTCACAGCTAGCAGGGGACAGAGAAGGGTGATAAGGAAGTGTGGAAACTGAAGCTGCCCTCAGAGCCTCTCCCAGCCGTAGGCTGCTTCTCCTCCCTGCTGCTCTGCTACCTCTCTTCTTCCTACCACTCTCACCCCAGTTGACATTTCTGTCCCAGATTTTGTAAAAATATATTCATCTATTGCATGAATGCAAGGGGAAAAGGATATTTTAAATTCTTGAAAAAGCCTCTGATATTCTGTAATAGATCGTTTTAATTTTTAAGCCTATCTTCTCTGCACTCTTAGTTTTTTAAAATTTTATTTATTTATGTGTGTGTGTGTGTGTGTGTGTGTGGCCAGCTCAGCCCACCAGGGGGGTGGGGCTGGCTGGCATGTGGTGCTGAGGGATTGAACTGTGGTCCCTGTGCTTTGCTAAACTTGTTCTAAGTAGGTGCTTTAGACCACTGAGCCATCTCACCAGCCCCTCTTAGTTTTTAAGAGTTCACAACACACACCTATTGGGTATTTGGATCCCTTCACTTCACATTTTCTCTGAGTGTTTTCCAGTTTTGTGTGTCCAAGTGGGCAAACCTTCCCTTAGCCATTTATTCTGAGGCTGGATGGTCAAGTTTCCTTGCTCCTTTCAAATTTAAAGATTATTATTACATCATGGTCAAGAGGCATCAGCTATTTGATTCTAAACACACTTTCTGCTGGCTCTACCCGAGGCCTGCTATCAGGGCTGGTGGTTCCCAGAATGTGGGCCTATTCTCTTGCCGGTCCATGCATGCTTTTTTTTTTTTAATGCATGCTTTACTATTGGTCCCTATTAAATATAGAACCAAAGAGCAACCTCTTAGGATCTTCTTGTTGTTTTTAACAATAGAACACTTTTATGGTTGCTGAATCTAAAAATAAAAGAAAAAATTAGGACATACTTTGTATGTCTTTGGTCCTTAAATCTTCTTTAAGGGATATTTTATTTTATTTTACAAAAATATTACTCACGACAGATTAGAAATGAAAATCCAGAAAGCAGACACCCTGCAGCTTTGCACCAGGTCTCCAAGGCACGCCCCAAACACATCAGTACATGGCGGAGCTTCTTAGGAAGATATCGACTAGTGATTTGGGGAGATTCTGTACAGCAACTAGATCCAGAGAGATTACCGCCCTGTGATCTCTCTGCGGCATGAGATAAATGATAAATGATCAAGTTGGGGAAGTTTATCTGCAATGTAATGTCTGCAACACACAGGTGTGAAGGTTTAAGCAGGTGTCACTGGCTGGCAGCTCAACCCTCATACTCTCCTCCCAGGATTCTGAAGGGCCCAGCCCAGCTGATGTGTGTATATATAGGGGCTGAGCCAGGCTTCTCCCAGGACTCACAGCTCCTTCCCTCCCCAGTCTCTGCCTTCTTCCAGCCCTTGTACTCTTGCTCTTGTCTGTGCCTCTGGTTGCTCCAGCAACCATGAGCCGCCACTTTAGTTCGCAATCTGCATTCAGCTCAAGGAGCAGGCAGGGCTATACCAACAGGTCTTCCTCAGGCTTTGGTGGTAGGAGTTGGGCTGTGGGGTCTTCGAGTCAGGCCTGGGGGAGGCCTGGTTCTGGTGGATATGGGGGCTATGGAAGAGGGTTTGGTTCTAGAAGTCTTTTCAACCTGGGTGGCAGTAAAAGTATCTCGTTTGGCCTGGTAGGGAGAAACGCCAGTGGTTTCCACCACAGTAGGGGAGTAGGAGGAGGATTTGGAATGGTCAGAAGGTTTGAGGGTCATGGTCTTGGTAGTTCTAGTTTTGCAGGTGGGAGATTTGGAGGTGGTCGTTTTGGAGGAGGGGGTTTCGGGGCTTCAGGAGCTGTTAATTTTGGGCCTGCGGGCTTTGGTCCTTCATATTCTCCGGGTGGTATCCATGAGGTGACCATTAACCAGAGCCTCCTAGAGCCACTTCACTTGGAGGTGGACCCTGAAATTCAGAGGATCAAGACCCAGGAGCGGGAGCAGATTATGGTTCTCAACAACAGGTTTGCCTCCTTCATTGATAAGGTGAGTACCTTATGGTCAGATAATCTCTGGGCACAAAACTTTTCACCCCACTGTGCTGTTTCAGTTTGGTGGTGACAGTCACTTACAGACATGTATGCCTTAGGATCTTAGGAAGTTGTCTAAGCTAGTTGGAGGATTTCCTTTCTATTTCCCTTTGGTAGGAAAGCATATAAAGTGTGTGAAAATACTCAACAGATACAGAGTGTAGTAAGCTTATTCTCCTTCACCAATATTCACTTTCCATACATCCATGTGTTTGCCCATCCACCCACTCAGCCACACACTTATCCATCTATTCATTCACCTACACATCCTTTCCTTCTTCTCTTCTTCCTCTTCTTCTGTCTCTGTCTCTCTGTCTGTCTGTCTCTCTCTCTCAACACACAATGTCTATCCACCCACATACCCACCCATCAGCATCCATCCATCCATTCATCCATCCAACATTCAATCATTTCTCCCTCCCTTCATCTTACTGTCCACTCCTCTGAGCACATTCATCCATAAAATCCATTCATCTATCATCCTCCCACTCACACAATCCATTCATTCATCTATCCATCCATCTACCCATCCATACATATCCCTCCATCTTTCTATCCATACAACTGCATGAACTTATTTACACTCTCTTTCTCCTTCCACCATTCATATTATACACCCATCCATCCACCTACATATTCATAAATTCACCTACCTATTCAGCCCATGAATATTTACCAAGCAAATATTATATATCAGTCACTGTGCTACGTACTATAGGGGTGACAGGATACAAGGAATCTGACATTTAAAGGCAAGAGAATTAACACAAAAGTGTATAAGAAGTGTGTTAATAGGGATAGAGCTCTCTGCACCAACAAAGTTCAAAGGAAAAGCACTATGAGCTCTGTTTGCAGGACTGTGGGAGAGCTTCTCTGAGGCCCTGGTCTGACCTGAGTCTTGAAGGTAGAAAAGGAGTCAAATAGTTGGGAAGAGGGCATTTCCTGACAGAAGGACCAAGAGACATGAACGTGTAACATCTCTTGGGAAATTCAGATGGTTAAGATTCCAGGGGAAGATGGCATAATGGAAGGAAGAGGGAGGTAGAGATGAAGCTCTGGAGGCAGGCAGGAAAGCAGTCTGGGCAGGGCGTACAAAGCCTAGGTGCCGGGGTATTGCTGACAGCTAAAGTCAGTAACACACAGTGAAGCATTTGAGTCCCTTGTAGTTCATCCAGGGTCGTGAAAGGGGCGGGTGGAGCCATGGAAGTTCTTCTCATCAGTTCCCAGGCTAACCCTCAGATTAGATTTGGTTCAGCACCAAATACCAGGTAGAGGATGGAGAACAGCCATGGGGAAAAGATCTTCCTCCAGACCCGCCTTTCACTCAGAGGTGGAGGCACAATGGCCACTGCCTGGTAACAGGGCAAATACTGGGGACAGGACAGAGAGTGTGACCAAGAGGAGGAGTAGAATGTTAGGCCTAGAGGCAGCCAAAAGGTAGCTCAACAAAGCACAGTGCTTCTGGCTACTTCTGGGGACTCGGGACTGGAAATTGGGCTGAATATCACACTTCAGCCACAGGCACAGACAGAGGGTTTGACCAGAACAAGAAAGAAGGTGAAGGTGATGGGAGAGGAGAAGGAGATAGAGGCAAATGGTCAGGGAGGAGGCAGGGAGAAACCAATGGGATGACCGCAGGCTCTGGCTAGTGATCCGAGATTCCCATTGGAGTATGGTTCCTGCCATTAACAGAGCATCTGTCTGGTTTTATGGCCTGCAGCTGTAGGCAGAGGGCTTTAGCTTTCTGATCCTCTCTAAGGCCAGAGCTGTGATGGCCAAGAGCAGAGAGTGCATAGCAGGTGGCTCTGGCCTAGAAAGAAGGCTTCAGTTACAGGGATCTGACCCTGCTCCCTGAATTGGTCTTCATGTTTTTTCCCTTCACCCTGTACAGCCTTTCCTTAACAGTACAGCAGAACCCATAGCTCCCATTTAAATCCTTCATTGGCCTCTTGTGTCATTTGGGATAAAAACTAGGTTCCTACATGGCCTTATAAGATGTGGCCTCTACTGCACAGATGTTGCTGCAAGATTCTCTGATCCACACAATGCCATTGTCATTATCACAGGCCTTTGACTGAGCATTGAGTTGCTTTTTCTGGGCATGTCACACATAGTAAAACCAGATAGTGGCAGAAACTCCTCCCAGGAGTGTTTCAGGTTGTGTTGATAAGGTTGTGAGAGGTTGCTGATTGCTCAACCTCTTTGCTAAAGCCAGCAAAAATGAGCCATGGGAAACAGTGCTCTTTGTAAACATTGTCCAGCTTAACATCAGAATCCAAAGGGGCTCTCAGGACTGACCCTTGGATGGGTAGGCACAGGTGCTGGGTGTCCTCCTTGGTGTCTCACTAGCAGGTGTGCCTACAGGGTTCTGCTCTGATGGCACAGAGCCCTGGGTTTACTCCTTTGCATAGCTCCCAGTGGAGGGAGCTAGAGTTTGGAGGAAGGAACACATGTGAGGGGGTGGGAATGTGTGTATATGTGGTTATGAGTGCGTGCATAGCCACACACCAGTGCCCCAGCAGAGCACAGAGGTGGAGCCACCACGTCTCTCAGCACAGGGGTGGGGAGGCTGCATTTCTCCATTTGCGAGCAGCTGGCAGAGGGGAGACAAAAGCTGGTCATTACTATGTAAAGTACCAGGCCATGCACTTGGTCTACACGGACAGCCAGTCCTCTGACCTCTGTGTCTCACCTTTGTGTCCAGCTTTGAGGGAAGAGGTTATGCAAATTCTGGGGGTTGCCCATGCCACATTTCCTGGGCTATTAAAGAAAAAGCAACTTGAGTATTTCCCAAACACTTGCAGACCACCTAAAGGGTCACTTGAGTATATTACATAATTTAAAAAAGAGACTATTTAAAAACTTATCTGGACTACATACACATTTATAGAGATTACTTTCCTGAAACATACTGGCAATCAGAAGAGGTGGTGCTGCTGTAGGGGGCACTGAGGGAAGCGAAGGGAACCTTGGTTTCTGACTGTTTCCCAGGTTCAGAAATACCACTTCCTTAAGTTAGCAGGGGTACATGTCCTCATAGAGGTGACAACTCTGTGACATGAATGTTTGTAGCTGAATGAAAGATGGCACTCATTGAAAGTGATGTATCTTCAAAACCAGAATGAGCTCAGCGTTAATTTTAGGCAAGTTAACCTGTAGTCCTTGATCACCATCAGAAATCACATTGCTTTCTGTTTGTTTGACTCCAGGGATGGAGAAGCTCTCGATCCCTAGGAGGCTGCTCACCTTGATCCTTTGGGGTCTGGGTCTGCAATGGGGCTGTTGATCCCCCTTCCTGCTGGGGAGTTGCCCTGACCCACAGCCTGGGGATGGGTGGGGATCCTTGCTCTTAGGTGCGATTCTTGGAGCAGCAGAACCAGGTGCTACAAACAAAATGGGAGCTGCTGCAGCAGGTGGACACCTCGACACGGACCAACAACCTGGACGCCTTCTTTGAGAACTTCATCGGTGGGCTGCAGATGAAGGTGGATCTTCTTAACACTGAGAAGATGCGCAAGACCTCCGAGATCAGGAGCATGGAGGATGCTGTGGAGGACTACAAGAGCAAGTGAGGCTCTGTGGGCTCAAGGGGCAATTGGTTCTGCAGCAGTGTTCATGTGCAGTTGTGTGGGCCGCGCACTGCACAGTGCAGGGCGCCCCATTGCGTATGGGGCAGCCTTGGTAGGCTGCTGGAGCTGTCAATCATACTGAGTAGGGAGGGGCAGGATAGCTTTGTGGACATTAGAGCCAAACAGGCTTTGCCACTCTGCCATTAGCTGCTAATGATTTATTTTGTGTTTTTGGTTCTCACATTGAAGTGAGGATAATAACTTCCTTGATGGTTTATTGTGACAGATAGGTCTAGGGTTCTCAAACTTGGGCGAGCATCAGCTTGCTGAAATCAGATTACCAAGCTCCACCCTTAGAGATTCTGCTTTAGCAGGTCTGGGATGGGGTCAGAGCATTTATATTTTTAACCTGTTACCAAGTGGTACTGATGCTGGTGCACTGGGGACCAAACTTTGAGAAGGACTGGTTTAGATGCAATTATGCTTGGCAAGTTCTTTGTACAGTCCCTGCACATACCAAGCCCTCGCTAAGTGCCAGCTATTAATAATAATGGTAGGGGTTGCCGGAGTCGTCAAGCTTAAGATCAGCTGTTCCTGAGCAATTGTGTAGATGACTCAGTGGTTTCTCCCTTCTCTTCCTTCCTGATACACTTGTGTTGTGCCAGGCAGACCCAAGGGTGTGTGAGCCAGCAGGGAAAAATCACACTCACACTGTCACACTGCACGTGCTGGGGGCAGAACTATAGGTGCAACTTTTTCTCATAAACAACTTAACAAAAGTGGTGGTTACTGTATATTTTTAATGGAGAAAAAAATAATTGAGTTCTATGTATTTGTAAAGGTAAAACACCAAAATAAAAATAGGCATTTTGGGGGCTTTCTGTGTAGCTCTGGTTTTCTCACCTGGGTTCTTGTTCTCTCTGTTGGCTTGGGGAACCGAGATCCGGCTTTGGAGCTCTGCAGTGTGAGCACCAGGCCCTGCAGGGGCAATGAGTGTTGTGAGCTGGGGCCTGGGTCCAGGGCAGTGGAGGTCTGGGGAAGCCTGAGCTTTCTGCGGTGAGCAGACCCTTCAGTGAGCCCAGGTCAGCCCTGTAGCTATCTGTGCTCCTTGTCTCCCCTAGGTACGAGGACGAAATCAACAAGAGGACCAACACTGAGAATGACTTTGTGGTTCTGAAGAAGGTAAAGGAAAGGGTAGTTCCCAAGGAGGACTGTGGATACAAGGGACTGGGTAGAGTGGGATGCCTCTGTTGGATGTTTGGTGACATGGACAGCATGACTTTTGGAGATGCCTTGATGGGTGTTGCTCAAATCTGGGGCTCTTTCACTGAAGGGGAAGGAAATCCGAGATGGATGTTGCTAGGATTCTGTAGCCGTCATCTTGTTCACATCTCTCCAGGCTTCTTAATGTGACACTAAATTAACCGACAGGTTTTAAGGGTCAGTTCTATGTGTCCTTGGGCATGGGGAAGTGCTGGGTGCTATGTGTGCAGCTGACAGAGGTATGGAGGTTTGTATCAAGCCTCCTTCTGGCCAGTGTAGTCAGGGTTTGCAGGCTTCTGACTTGACTGAGGTTGAGTGTTGGCATTTATAGGAAGGAAGGAAGTCCGGGGAGGTTTTGTCTGGGGCTACCCAGCAAGCTAGCATGGCATGCAATTCCTGGGTGACAATTCAGATCATCTTTGTTTGTTCTTTAGGATGTGGATGCTGCTTTTATGAACAAAATGAACCTGGAATCTAAAGCAGGCACATTGCTCGAGGAGGTCAATTTTCTAAAATATTTATTTGAAATGGTGAGTTCAGCTCTTAGGAGAGACTCCCTTCTTTTCTCACAAGGGGTATAGACTTAAAGAAGGAGGCCTGGAGCCTAACACTCCCCATGAGAAGCTCATCCCCCCAGGTCCCCAGCTCCATGAGTCCAGAGTCAGCCATCCTCTCAACCCCCAGTTCTCAAAGTTCCTCTCTCTCTCTTCCTCCCAGAGACACTTGTTGTATTGTGCCAGGGAGACCCAAGGACATGTGAGCCAGGAGGGAAAAATCAAACTGACACTGTCACACTGTATGCACTGGGGGGTGGAATTGTAGGGGGCAGTGGAGATGGGGTCAGTGAGAATCCAAAGATAGGAGGTGAAGTTTTCTTTGCTTCATGGTTTCCAATCTGTCTGGAAAATGATATTGACACTGGGACACACAGCACAGAAACCAATCAGAAACCCTCATGCACTGTGGCAGGGAGCACAAGGGGTCATTGGAGGACTCTGCAGGAGATGACAGTGTGGCTCTTAGAGGGAGTGGGGTCAGACTGCAAGGGCACAACGTGCTCTTTTACCTTGATCCTCCTGCTGCTTGTGTTTGATGGGGTATGTGCTGTGTTAGAAGTGCTCCAAATGAGAAGGCCAGCTCCATTCTACAGAAGAGAAAGTGGAGGCAGCATAGGCCTAAATCAGTTGCTAGGTCACCCAGCGAGTCACTGAGTGGCTCCCCAGCTGGAGTCTTTTATGCTGCTTCAGAGCTCCTATAGTTTCGAGAAGCTAGTATGCTCACTGGGGACCTCAGCCACTGGCAGCCAGGTGAGGATAGGGCCAGGATGGAGGATGTGGCAGAGACAAGATGGGAGCTCTGTCCTTCTCCCCAGTGGGTAAGCCTGGACCCTGTCACCTTTACCTGAGGTACTCAGGACTTTCACATTCCTTCTTGTTACCCACAATTTAAAGGCTTTCTCCCAAGACTCCTGCTAGCCGAGGCCTCTGGCTTCCCTAGGGAAACTGAGGACTCTGGGAGGGGAGTGAAAGGGATCAACCAAGTTCCACGTATCACAGGAGCTGTCCCAGGTGCAGACCCACATCAGCGACACCAATGTTATCCTCTCCATGGATAATAACCGCACCTTGGACCTGGACAGCATCATCACAGCAGTGCAGGCTGAGTATGAGCTCATCATACAGAGGAGCAAGGATGAGGCTGAGGCGCTGTACCAGACCAAGGTGAGCCAGGACCCCACTTGCACCCCTAGACAGATACTTCCAAGGACTGGCATTGTCTTCCCTTTATTACTAAAGTACATCATGTTGTAGAAACTTTAGGAATTATGGGTAAAGATTACCAATATCTCATCACCTAGTCCTACTACTTATTTGAAGCTAACACTTATGGAGAATTCACATGTTTGATATGATTTTTCATTTACCCTTTCACTCCCCAACATGCAAGGATTTCATTATCATATTTTGTAAATAATAGAGTGAGTGTTACTGAACTTTGTAGCAAGCAAGTGGCATCAGAACTTAACTAAACTTGGGTATGATGTCTGCAAATCTTTGCTCTTAACCACTACAATGCTTTTAGTTGTTTCAGAATAGCATCCATTAAAATATAACTTTGAACTTTTCACTTTCCTATTTTATTACTTACAAATACCTGACTATGATACTAAATATTCTGTAACATTTTAGTGCAACATATCACATTATGAGACTATATTCTCACCTATTAGTTAAAGACATGCATAGTTAAGTCCTTGGGAATATCTTCACTTACTTTTTAATTTTTTTTTGTTCTTTTTGGATGATGTGGACTATAGTTGAAGGGATAAACATGACAGTCAAATCACCAAATCCTGCACAATTGGTAGTGGATGATATGCTCTGCCAGTTATTTGAAGCCAACTGCAATCTTGGTTGATGTCTCTCTGTCCCACTGCTCCACAGTTAGATGTTATTGGATGGAATGGATTTCTGTTGTTGAATTGGGAAGGCACACAGTCAGTACTGAAGACATCAGCAAAATTGATTCTTTTGGGTTACCTCTCCCTTCACCATCCACTGTGGAACAGAGATAGAAATAGGAGAGAGGGAAGGAGAGGGAGAGAGGGGGAAAGGGCGAGAGGAGAAGAGGGGAGAGAGGGAGTGAGGAGAAGGGGGAGAGGGAGAGAGCAGGAGAGGGAATGAAAGAAGAGAAAGGGAGAGAGGGAATGGGGGAGAGTGGGGGAAGAGGGAGGAAGAGGGAGGAGAGAGGGTAAGGGAGAAAGAGAAAAAGAAGAGAGGGAAAAGAGGGAGAGAGGCAGAGAGGGGGAGAGAGGGAGGGAGAGAGGGATAGCAAGCGAGAGGGAGAGCTAGTGAGAAAATGTGAACAAATATGGAACATGCTTTGGGCATCTGAGGACAGGCAGTTCTCCCTGATAGGGAAAATCATCCTGGAAAAGAGTATGAAGGAATTTGGTAGCATGAAAAAAGTGAGGGGCCCAGTGTGGTTAAGGACCAATGTGACGGTTTAGGTGTACAAAAAATGAGATAAAAAGAATATAATGAAGCAAGATTTGCTGGCTGGGATATGAGCCTGCCCAGAGAGTGCTGGGAATGAAGGAGTCTTGGTATAGAGATGCATGCATGCGTGCATGCATGTGTATGTGCACGTGTGGGACTACAGCTATAGGTGGACTTACTCTGAAACTTCCCAGGGGAGAGCAGCCTGGACCCATCCCTTCCTGGGGGAGCTCACAGTGAGCAGCAGGTGCTGACCATGATGTGCCCTTGACCTTTAGTTCCAGGAGCTCCAGATCTCAGCAGGGAGACATGGAGATGACCTGAAAAACACCAAGATGGAGATTTCTGAGCTGAATCGCAACATCCAGAGGATGCAGGCAGAGATTGCCAGTGTCAAGAAGCAGGTGGGGCGGGTGCTCAGAGTGGGCTGACCAGGCATGAGACCTGCCTCCCACTGTGCCCTGCTGGATCCACCCCCTCACCCCTAAACTCAACACCTACCTGTGTGGTTCTCCAACTCTCTCTGGTATAGATTGAACAGATGCACTCTGCCATTTCGGATGCAGAGGAGAGAGGAGAGCGGGCCCTCCAGGATGCAAAGCAGAAGCTGCAGGACATGGATGAAGCCCTGCAGAATTCCAAGGAGAACTTGGCCCGGCTGCTGCGTGACTACCAGGCCATGTTGGGGGCCAAGCTGTCCCTGGATGTGGAGATTGCCACCTACCGCAAGCTGCTGGAGTGTGAGGAGAGCAGGTGGGTGTGACCCTTGGGTTTTCCCAAACAAAGCAGAGGATGCAACCAGGCAGTGGAGGAACTGTTTGGAGAGACGACATCTTCCCTATTTTTTGGAGAAGATTGGTAATCTCAGGTGGAGAGAAACAATCACTGTAGAAGCTGAGGCTATGTGGTTGGCTGGGCAGGAGAGCAGTCATGGAGACCATAACCTAGCCTGAAGCACCATGTGGCCATGCCCCAACCCGAGCCATTGCAGCCAGGGGTAACCCCGTGCTGAAAGCCTTCTGGGAAAGACTGGAACTCCTGCTAGCCCCCAGCGGCCCCTCATCTCTGCTAAGCACACACATTTCCCTGGAGGCTTGGGGACAGCTACCTCTTCACACAAAATCTCTACTCCTGCTATCCTCAGCTGATGTCTTCAGACACCGCAGGCCTGGCTGAGGTGTACGTTTTGGTTTTGCAGGATGTCGGGAGAGCAGCAGAGCCACGTCAGCATCTGTAAGTAACGGGAGCCAGGGATAGAAGCGGCTGATGCTGGGCAGAGGCGGGGCTGGGGAAGGTTGCCAGGGGCAGGCAGTGATGGCATGTGGCACTTTGGCTTCAGGTCCTGTACGAAGAACACCAAAGTAAGCAAGCAGCACTGCAGAGTGCGAAAATTGGTTGAGATAAGTGGTTATGATTTTAGGCCTGCTTATCTTAATTTTGGTGATAATTTCATCCACAGCCAGCAGACATCTTCAGAATATATATTCATTAAACCATGAGAATGTGTTACTTAAAGGAATGCTTCTAAGTGGGAGGACTTTCAACTTTCAATGTATCCGTTTGCATGTTGGTCCATTAAGGATGAAGGATGTAGGAGGCTGCCAGTGTCATGGCGGGTGCAGCTGGGTCCCCCTGCAGGCTCCTTCTGACCGTCTGCTCTGTCCCCTCTCTCATAGCGGTGCACAGCAGCCAGGTGAGCACGAGTGGCGGCAGTGGCGGCGGAGGCGGCTCCGGAGGTTATGGAGGTGGCGGCTACAGCAGCGGCGGGGCCAGTTTCGGCGGCAGCGGTGGTGGCTACTCGAGCGGCGGCGGCGGGAGCTACGGAGTCAGCCATAGGAGCAGCAGCAAGTACGGCGGCGGCGGCTGGAGCAGCGGTGGCGGCAGGAGCAGCGGTGGCGGCGGCAGGAGCAGCGGTGGCGGCAGGAGCAGCGGCGGCTCCTCGCGCGTGCAGATCATCCAGACCTCCACCAACTCCTCCCGCAGGCGGGTCGTGGAGTAGAGGCCGAGCTGAGGCGGGGTCTAAGTCCCGCACCCCTAGAAGGCGTGGGACACCTTCTGTCGCAGCCCCCAGCCCCTCCACGCTCTTCCTGACTCTCACTTAGCTCTACCTGGTGGGTCTCAGCACTTTGGTCGATACATTCAGCTGTAGGTGGGGAAGTAGGGTGGCTAAGGCCAATTAGCAGCTCTCTTTGGAGGCACTGACTTGGATGTCACAGTCAGACAGCTCTTGCTCAGCCCTGGGGAGACTTCGGCCCCAGTTAAGAGGTGGAGGGAACCCAGAGTCGATGTCAAGTATACCAAGGGTCTTACTCCCAGGCTCTTTCTCCCCACCTGGGCCTCTCCACCAACAGCAATCCATCCCTCTGGGACCTGGAAATGATCCCTGTGGGCAAGGGGCTGATTTCTACGAAACTAGCTTGGTAAGGTCCCATTGTACCAGGGCCAATTCCCGCCTCTTGGACAGTAGCCTCACAGTTCTATGTTGACGGCAGGCATAGATTTGCTGCCTACATGGTATGCCTGTAGGTCATACCTGTCCTGGTCCTGTCCCCAGAAATGTTATCCCCAGCCCCAGATGGGAGTATTTCAGCAGCCAGGAGAGCACATCCTGTTTGAAGGAGGAAGGAGGAGTACATCCTTGTCCAAGGGGAGGAGTGTTCTTAGCAACTGGAGAGTGATAGACAGTCAGGCTCTACTTCTATCCTGCCCCTCCAGCCAGCTCTGTTCTGCAGAAGCCTGTCCCTTTCCAGAATCTTCCCCATTAGGGCTGTGCCAATAATTGGCCCATGGGCTGGGTACCTGAACCCCAGGCCTGAGCAGAGTGAGCATCTGGCTTGGATTTTGGGCTTGAGTCCATCTGAAATCTCCCCATTTTTTAAAAAGGCAGTTCGATGTTTTTCTCTAAGATCTTATAAGTTCCTCTGCCTTCTGTTCTCTGTGGCTCTGAGTACTTTGTGAGATTGTAACTCTTGATTTAGAGGCATATGTAAAATGCTTGGGGTTTGCTGGAGGTGCAGGAGGGGGACAGCACTGACAGAGGAAGTGTGGCTGGCGTCTCACATCTGGAGTCTACCTCATGAGCTTGCTGTGTCTGAGTGCAACCACTGAGTCCATGCTTGTCGGGGCAGCTGATGGGTGCTGGATGAGTCCCGTGGGGGAGGGTGTGGGGCTCCATCATTTCCTGGTCGCAAGTTGTATCCTTGGGGCTTGGCATTTCTCTTCTCTTTAAAATAAATTTCTCTGTGTCATTTGGTCAGATGAGTTAGTTCTTTAATTTCTTCATGTCTTTGAAATGATTTATATTTGGGAAGCTGAGATTTATTACTTTTATTATTTTTATCATACAAACAACACACAATCTAGAAGATAATTTTGTAGATTTACTAATCTTTAAAGTGGCCTGTCATTCAAAAGTCAGTGGCATTTACTAAGCTCCTACCATGTGGCCAGCTGTGGCACAGGCACTGGGAATTCGAGGTTGCATGAATACATTTCTGAATCTTTAGGTGCTCCCAACTCAAATGATGTAGTCTGAGGGACAGGAAGGTTCAGAATGAGGAGAAACCAGTTTGTGCAACTGGGCATCACTTAACTTGTGGGTGGAAGCCAGGGTAACCTGAGGCCACAGACAGATCTACCAGAACAAGAGCAGGTGCCAGTGCTGGGGGCGGGAAGTTTGATCTTAACAGGTTTCTGAAGGATTGGGAAGAGGAATGGGGTTGGACAAAGTGGGGACAGGCCTTGGTTGTCGTGTGACTCATTTGCTCAGAGACTCAAAGAGAGAAAGTGAATGTGTTTGAGTAAAAGGGAGAAACAAGATAGGAGAAACAGCTGGGAGGCATGTGGCTGAAGCCCATTAATTGAGTGGAGGTCAAGGGGGGGGGTTCTTTAACTGATGCCTTGAGGGAGGTGAAGAGGCAGAAATTTGAAAAAGCAATGAGTGAAGTCATCACCTTATCCTGTGAGGTGTTTCAGAGTCCCTGAAAGGAGGCATAAAAGTTGTGACTTGTTTTCTCATTTCCTGCGGGGATAAAGATGGAATTTGGATGTAGGATTTATTCAAATATGATTGCTGCCCATACTGATAACATGTTAAATTCCCAGGCACACCCAAAATTTCCTCTGAGACATTTCTGTCCATCTCACTTGTTTTAGCAGCAGATCTGTTGGAGGTAGGTTAGGCAAGGAAAAGATGGCCAAGAAGGTGCTCAAAAGGAAGAAGAGAGGGGCAGAGAAATAAAACCCAAAGGTTCAAGGTCTAGTAGGGAGGCCTGGATAGACAGCAGAGGCCATAAAAATGATTGATAGTGTTCAGTTGGCAGTAAAAACACACCAGTCACTAGGGTGTGGTGGCTCCTCAGCAAGGCCATGGGAACCAGGAAGAGGAGAGCTAAGAGAAGGAGGGCTTGTGATGGTCCTTCTGTCATGAGGCCACTCTAGGGGCTCCGAGTGCCAAGGGCAGTAGCAAGAGAAGGCTACTCAGAGAAGCATGATCAGACAGCAGTGATGGAGAACCAGCGGCCTGGCCATAGGGAGAATGGATGTGGAAGACAACCAGGACAGATAGATGTCTTGGGAGAAATGTGAGCGCTAACTGCAAAGATCAGACAACTTCCTTAGGAAGAGGGGATTTGGTCTCAGATGATAATCCAGACAGAGAAGTAGAGACTACAGAAGATTTAGTTCCACGCAAGGAGCACCTTCCCAGGATCCTAAAATAGGACAGGACACTTGGGGAGTTATCAAGTTTCAAGCAGAGGTTGACAAATCACTTGGCAGGTTGAGGGAAGAAAGAGGGATGGGGACATGTGTACGGAGCATTTAACATCTTTGTGGCTCTAAGAGTTCATGTGGCAGAGTCTGAGAAAAAAAAATTCCACATTCTATACTTTATGGAAAGAATAAGGTCAGATGCCAGGGAAGGAGAAAGGCATGGAGAGGCCCTAGGGCCTAGCTTGGATCATAAAACAAATCCAAGTTTCTGGCACCATCAGACCTATTACAGAGCCGGATTAATTATCCCTGGGATCATGTCCCTGTGTATGATAGGGAGGAATTCAGGTTGGCTCTGTAAAGAAAGCATAAGAGCAAGGTCAGCCAGAGGTAACCTTTCCTCCCAGAAAATACGACCCTGATGGTTCTCTTTAAAGGGCTGAACTATCTCAACCAGAAAGGACCTGGAGACAGACGGAAGAAACATGTGCCTAGGACTACCGGAGCAGAAATACCACAGGGTAGAGGCATGGGAAATAAAAACCCAAAGGATGAGGAGTTCAACAAGGAAGGAATCAAGGTGCAGAAGAGCAGTCTGTATTTGATGTTCTAGGGAGAAGGGAGTTCCTTGGGGACAGGAGCAATGGGGGCACTAGCACCATAAGATACTGGTGGAGATTTCCTGGTAGAGACAGTGACAGACCCCATCAGGAGCGAATGCTGCATGCTTTCAGGTCTCCCCAATGAAGCTAACAAGCAACTTTATAACCAATCTGATTCTTACTGTCTCTTTGAGAGGGCTGGGAAGGGCTTGTGCGGGTGCTCTGTGTTCCTTCAGGGAACCATGAAGTCTTCCACCCTCACTCTGACCAATGCTCCCCACCAGGAAGATACCCGGAAGGACAGCAAGGCCACCAGATCCATTCATCAGATGCCGTGTGTGTGAGATCCTGGGAAACCTAGGCAGCTGCTCCTCCCCCTGGAAGGTTTTGGCAGGGCGGAGTGCTCTGGAAATCTAAGTCTAATTCCACCAGCTTCTCAGATGCAGAGATTTTTATCTCAGGACACCATGAACATAAGAAACAAACACTGGCTAAATAAAATTTTAACTCCTTTGGGCCTTGGACCAGGTGTGCATTTCTGGGCCAAGAAAGCCCTTGATCTCAGGCAGTCTTGAGAAGGTCACCTCATTTTTATTGCCCAGCCTTTTGGCCTGGGTGATATCTTCAAATTAGTGAGCCAGCCACTCTGACAGTCTCTTCAAACTCATGCTAACTCTCATGATATTTCTGGACCTGCTGCCCTGGTTTTATCAGTTTTCTGATCAATCCAGGAAGTGGAACATCATCAAGTTGATCAACACCCTGTTGAAGGGTGAGGCTGGGAACTTGGTGTGTTGGGAAGTTCTCCAGCATGGACAGTTGGTTCCGAACAGCTGAATCCTAAAACTGGGAGGGCTCCCATCCCCGGCCCAGTGTGCTAAGTGTGAGGCCAGTGCCCTCCCTGGGAAGCAGCCTCTCCTCAGAGTGAGTGAGGGCTCCTGGCATTGGCCTCAGCTTTCGTCAGTGTCAGGTGCACCCAATGTCACTTCTAAGTGTTGGGTCTCTGGCTTCCCTGTGACTGCTTTATGGGCCTCCTAAGACTTTCACTCACAGGATGACCTCTGTAAGAGCTTGAACTTCCTTTCCTAGCCTTTACTCTGTTTCCAGTGAAATGGGGTTGCTCCAAAGCTTTTCTGGCAATGTCACTTTCTGGGTCCTTTTAAATGCAAGACAAGAGAGAGTCCTTCCTCTTCTCTTTATTGTTCATACTTTACAGTCTCCTTGGAAGGCACATATAGTCCCTACTCACAAAGGAGCAAATTTAGACTGAGAACAGGTTGGTGACTGGATTAGGGTCACACAGCCAGGAGAGAAGACAGGACTGGCTGACTCCATGGTGTGGAGTATGACAAGCTCTGCTGCCTTCTTCTGTGTGTGTGTCTTTGGCTTCTTCTTGCCTGCTCTCCCACTACCCTGAGTGGCACTGGGACTTCTTGCTGTCTGTCCTTGTTAAGTCTGCCCCTCTCTTTGCACCTCTCCCTCCTGTATAAAAAGCCTTGGCCCCTCCTCTGCTGCATGTTGCTTTCAACATGGCACCCCGCCTCCCCATTGTCTAGGACTCCCCTGTACTCCTCCCAGACTTTGACTTTCCCCACTCCCCTGAAATTCCCTCTCCCACGTCTCTGGTGGAGTCCTGCAGGGCTGGGTGGCTTGTCATTGCATGCTTTTCTTCAATCCTTTTCCAGGCCCCTCCCTAAAAAGCTCTCAAAATATCATCATACCTGCTCCTGCCCATGCTTTGCAGTCTGCCTGTGGCAACTCCAGCCATCACTGCTGGGGTGTGAGTCCCACATAGGTGTCTGGTACCGTATCATCTAGCTCTGTCTGGGTTACCCCTCAAGTGCAGGGAGCCATGTGGGAGTCTGGGAAGACACCCAAAGGCACAGAAGATGAAATCTTACTTCCAAGTCTTACAGATCAATTGGGGGCGGGTGGTCAGCAAATGCATATATGGACACAGGTACAAACGAGCTAACGCATGCAGCAGTTGTGCTTGGACCTGGTAGCGACTGATCTCAGGAAAATAAACCCAGAGATCAGCTATGTAGTGTTAACCAAGCAGAACTCTCTGGAGATGAGATCTAGGCTTAGCCCTAGCCCCATGGAACAGGAGGAAGAAATACATTTGCACTCAACAGGTGGTGGACTGTACACAGACTCGGGGCAAAAAGCTCAGGGCTTGAGGTCTTTGGGGTCCCAGAGCTAGATAGAGGGAAAGGGTTTGAAGAGAGCAGCCAGGGCAACTGAAGGTCTTTCAGAGAAGAGAAAAGTTGAAGTGAGCTGGGACAACTGGGAGAAAAAAGAAGGGCTGAACAGGCAATGAACAGGGAGGAAGAGTCACATTACGGGGCTGGGTGAAGCATGAGCAGGGGAGGTGTAGGTGGTGCTGGCAGTGAAGGAAGGCAAACCAGGGATGAGACGCACTGCTCTGGAGATGGACAAGCTTGGCATGGCAGTTACCAGCTGGGTGACCTTGGGCACACATTTTAACCTCTATGAACCCAAGCTGTGTTTTCTGGGCCTAACAACTACCATCCTGAGGACTGTGGGTGACCTTTGAGACGTAGCTCCCACCATGTAGTTGGTGCCTTGCAGATGTGAGTGCCTTTGTGCTCTCTTACTTTGTCTTGGTAAATGCAGATTCCATCCATAAGGCTGTAGTGAGGATTGCACCTTTGCTCCGTGTGTGAATTTTAGGGAAGGGCTTATTCCACTGAGCCATCTCCCTGGCACCCGTGTGTGATTTTTAATATCCCCACGCACCCACCACAATCTTAGCCAACAGCATTGCTATTCCAACCCTACCAGGCTGCCTCAAAAGTGAGCAGTGAAAAGGAGTTTGATTCAGTAATCAGAGGATTCCTAGGAATCAATAGTATGAGCTGGGGGCTGGGGAGATGGCTCAGTGGATAAGTACTTCCCTGGCAAGCGCAAGAGCCTGAGTTCAATCCCCAGTTCTGAAAAAAAAAGTTTAATAGTATGAGCTGGACAAATTCTGTTCACGTCTTGGGCTTCATGTTCTTGCTTCTTTGCTAGGAAAGTTAGATGGTGTGGTCTTTGAGTGCCTATAGGTGGGAATATTCTGCTGTTTTCTGCATTCATTTATAGGAACTGATCCCAGTGACTGGTCTTTGCATCTCTTTTCCAATGTAGGAAGACGGTTAGTAGAACACCACAGATCTAGACCCAGATGTGTCTTTTCCTAGCTGGGTGTAGAGTAAATCTCTCTGAGGCTCAGTTTGGATAATCCTTTGGAAGCAGCTTGATGGGCTGATTCTCAGGGTGCTTGTAGGGAAGTTTGTGTATGTGCTTGGTGGAGGTGAACTATGCAAATGTAAGCTGACGGTGATATTTATGCCTTCTTGCTCCTTCTAGTTCCTGATTTCTGCCTTCTCATGGTACCTCCTAGAACATGTTTGCAGCTCTATATATTATTTGCCAATTGCTTGACTATTTTGTTAGTTTCTTAGTTTGAAAGCACAGATCACCATAACAATCTGATTTTGTTTAGTGCAAACCTGTACACTAATATTCATGCATACACATATGAACGCTCCTCCAAAATGCTAGAAGGAATCGATTGTATAGAATGATATGTCTCATAGGGAGTATGCTGAACTAAAAGAATTTTGATTGCCTGTCACAAGATGATTAGGCAACAGTAATTATTATGCCAAGACCATCCCAGTCCCCATTGTTCCCAAGACCTGGATTACTCATTCCCTAAAGAGATGGTTGGTTTAGCAGCTTAAGGATATTAGTGCTAACATGGAGTCCCAGACAACAGCGCTGTGGAGATGGGGGAGGGGAGAGTCACTTCTGGAGGAAGGTATATTGCAAACGCTATGGGAAGAGAGGAGATGGAAGATTTGGTAGTGAGGACAGGGTGCAGAGGGCAAAGATAGTGTCTTGGCTTAAAGCGACAAGGCAATGGGTTGAAATGGTCTTCATGAATTTCCTTCTCTTGGCAGATTTTGCATTCCAGGGTGGGCACTTTCCAAGCAAGTCTGTGGTTTGCCGCTTATAGAATTGCTTTCAGCCAGCTGAAATTAGAGTAGCTTTCTCCCCACTGGCTCTTGCATTCTGGGCTTATACACAAGTGTGAGGGAGTATGCCAGGCTTCTAAGAAGTCTTTGAATGAAAGTCTGTGTAGGATTCTGGTCTTTCCAGATCTCAGTGCCACTACTCTACATTAATATTGATCAAACAATGCTCTCAAGGAAGGCCCTGGGGTTTCCTAAGCCATTGCAAAGCATGCTGGGTCTTCTCACATGGAAGCAGCATTTCCCTGTACTCTGTACCTCCGATTTCTCTTTTTCAGAGTGAATCAAAAACATTTTGCAAGTATTTGTGTTTGTCAGGCCTTTTGTTCTTAAGCCTTGCACAGGAGAGGCAGCTCCCCATGCTAGCTGGCTTTGTCTACAGTGGCAGGGAGACCTGAACTCAGTTGCTGGGCTGTCCACAAGATGCAGTCCTGCACATTGCATATTGCTGGCCATCCTCAGTTCAGATTCCAGTGATGCCACTTGTTACCTGTGCAGACTTTGGCAGGCTTTTCAAACTCCATGCATTAGTTTCTCATTTAAAAAACAAGGCTGTTGTAAAAATTGAGTTTCTACATATTTCATATATAGAAGAGCATCTAGTGCATGAGTGAGCTTTGATATTCCCATCCTCCTCATCACAGTGTTATAATCACCTTCAGAAATTATGCAAACTTCTCAGGTCAAGTTTTCAAAACTATAAGTTTTGTCCTCCTTTTAAATCTACCCTCATCTATCTTTTCTCTCCCTGGTGAGTCTTGGACAACTGGCAACTCCTTTGCTTTACCAAATGTAACATATCTATTCATCTCGCTTCTCCATATGCTTTTCCATTGGCCTTTGCATCCCACTCATTGATACCTGATTTCCTTTGTTAGTGTCTCTGTTGTCTGATTCCTGCCCTGATCTGTCTTTGGAGAAAATAAACAATTTGGAAATTTAGAACAGACCATGTCTTTCCTTCTTGGCCCTTCTAGAACATCTACCTGTCCATCTTGTTTGATGAAAGCTCCTTTTCCGTCTGTCAGTCAATGCAGCACATTTATAAAAGCTGGGGTTAAAAACATTTAAGTTTTTAGTTGTTAAAGTCCTTAGTCTCCATCAAGAGATTAAGTTGGTGAGCTTTGATGCTGGGGTGAGAGCAGGTCTCAGAGCTGGGCCAGAGAGCTCCTTCTGAGACACAGACATGCAGCACTGCACCTGTTGCTCCCAGTGAGAGTGTGCTTCGCAGCTTACAAGGACAAGGCAAGAATAGAAACTCACATATCTTTATGAAAGCAATTATGAAATCCTTCTAAGAGACAGCAGGTAGCAGATGTGGGGTCCTCTTTTCCAAAGTCACAAATGCTTGAATCGAGATCTCGTCTGATAAAATGATTACCACACGAGCCAATCTTGCCTGCACAGCAATTTTGAGAGCCCATTTTGGGAGGTAGGTGTGTAGTGTTTATCATGCTGTTGGGGCGCGTAAAAAACCTTGTATGGCTGCAGGCAACCAAACCCTTGAGAGGCGCTGCATCTCCGATGACTCTGGAGGACCAAGCCCAATTTCCTCACTATATATAAGGAGAAGTCTCAGGGCTCAGGACAGAGGAGTGCTTGGCTCCTTTCCTCTTCTTTGTTCTTACTACTCTCTAAGCCAACATGAGCCGGCAGTGTAGTTCCAGGTCTGTGTGCCGGAGCGGTGGAAGGGGCTTCAGCTCTGGCTCTGCAGGGCTAGTCAGCTTCCAACAGAGATCCTCTAGCAGCTCTATACGCCGCAGTGGAGGAGGTGGTGGGAGATTTTCAGGAGGATTCTGTGGGAGCGGAGGAGGTGGTGGTGGTTATGGAAGCAGGAGTCTTGTTAACCTAGGTGGCAGCAAGAGCATCTCCATAAGTGTGGCTAGAGGAGGTGGTCGTAGTGGTTTTGGTGGTGGCTTTGGAGGTGGTAGCTTTGGTGGTGGTGGCTTTGGCAGTGGTGGTTATGGCGGTGTTGGTTTTGGTGGTGGTGGATTTGGTGGTGGTGGATTTGGTGGTGGAGGTTTTGGCAGTGGAGGTGGTTTTGGGGGTGGTAGCTATGGGGGTGGTTTTGGGCCTGTCTGCCCCCCTGGTGGCATACAGGAAGTCACCATCAACCAGAGCCTTCTGCAACCCCTCAATGTGGAAATTGACCCTGAGATTCAAAAAGTAAAGTCTCGAGAAAGGGAACAGATCAAAACACTCAACAACCAGTTTGCTTCCTTCATTGACAAGGTGAGTTTATTTGCTCAGTGTTCTGGGAGAGCTGTTCCTATGTCCTCTGAGATGGGAACAGCTGAGACATATGGAGGTTTAACTTTGCATTTCTGTGTTTGGACTGCTGAAAAGCTATTTTGTGGAGTGAGCTTCTAGGAGATACATCGGAAGTGTTCTTGGGAATGATGCTCATGACTAAACTCCCGTGGACAATCAGTCACCCCATTGTGACTGATCTGAGCATGGGTCAGTTTGGTGTGTACCTTTAAGTGCTCCTTACTTAGTTCTTGAGCTGAATCAAGAAAACAGAAACTAACAGAAGTGTCAAGTGTGCAAATGAGAACTGAGCCACAGACAGGGAACTGAGGGTAAGAGTGTGGCTCATGCCGGGCAGCAGAAGCCACAGAGGCAGTCAGTGCCAGGCACCCTTTGCTACCAGAAGGGAACTCTGCCTCTGAGAATTCTATACTGGTAAGAGGTCAGGGTGCAGGTTTTTGATGCCAATAATTCCAATCATCAGTCCTGCAAGAACATTCAAACCAGTTTTTACTTTTCTGCTTAATGGCAAATAATGTTCATCCAAAATTGTCCACAATGAATTTCAAGTCCAAATCCTAGATTTTCTCAATGTACTTTTTAACTGTGTTTATACCCAGATAACAAAAACTAACTCTTACTGGCTAGCAACCTAAAAAATTCAAGGGTAAATCTCTTAAATGGCATGTATTTTTTTTCCAAGCATAGTTTCGTTCATTTTATATATGCTTGGCTGTTGTTATTGTGTGACTACTTCTAATGCTTCTTTGAATTAAGAATGAGTTGGGTTTTGTTACGAAGTTTACCTTCTTATTTGTATGGCTAGTAAATAGGAATCAAAATCCTTTCTTCAATGAGACACTGGCCTTGCTCGGTGGCTATGGGACTCTGTTTGTGCACCAGGATGATGGGTCTTGTGATTTTAGGTGCGATTTCTGGAGCAGCAGAACCAGGTGCTGCAAACAAAATGGGAGCTGCTGCAGCAGGTGGATACCTCAACACGGACCCACAACCTGGAGCCCTACTTTGAGAATTACATTTCCCTGCTCAGAAGGCAGGTGGACCAGCTGAAGAGTGATCAATCTCGTATGGACTCAGAACTGAAGAGCATGCAAGACATGGTGGAAGATTATCGGAACAAGTAAGGCAGCCTGGCTGGGAAGTTCTTTATTCTTGCATAAAAGATTTCCAGAGAGGAATAAGCTAAGAATATGTAGTAGTGTGTGGCTATGTCTGCCTTAGCTTAAAGGCAAATAAATTTGACTACTTCAGAAATCATCTTCTCAGAATGTAGAAATAGTTTAGGGATTTTATAACTCAGAAGAAACAGGTGGCCAAAAGTAATATCTTGCAATGGAAAGGCAATGACAGTCAATGCTCCTTTTAGTTTAGAATCCTGAGCTTCAGACCAGTTATCCCCTAATCATTTCTGTTTTTCTGCAGGTATGAGGATGAGATTAACAAGCGGACAAATGCAGAAAATGAATTTGTGACTATCAAGAAGGTAAGGGCTGGGGATATGGCTCAGTGGCATACTCCTGCCTGGCAAGTGGGAATTTCTGAATTTGAATCCCCATTTTTTTTAAAAAGAAGGTAAGAAAATTTTGTAGTATAGAATTTAGCTTGGAAGTAAATAATAGAAGAGGCACTCCAATTATAAGCAGCAGGAATCCCCAGAGTGGAGAACCAGGTAGTGGGGCTGCTGAATATCTGGAGTAGAATTGTTTGTTCATATTGTTGTGGTTGTGATTCTAAAAAGGGGGTGGGGATCCAGGAGTCGGGATGCCTCCGGAGCAAAAAGGAGCATAGCAGACTTCAAATTCCACTTCTACTTAGAAAACACTTTCATGGCTAGAGAGAAAGACCTACTCTGGAAAGAATAGGCTTCATGTTACCTTTTTTTCCTTTAGGATGTGGATTCTGCTTATATGACCAAGGTAGACCTTCAGGCAAAAACTGACAACTTGAAGCAGGAAATTGAGTTCTTGACAGCACTCTATGAAGCAGTGAGTATGCTAATTTCAACCAAAGCTGCTTTGCTGGAGTCTTTGAGCCTGAACTTACTGCTCTCTCCCACTTCCCAAGTTCTTCCTTTGTCTATGTAGTTTTTTGGTTTTAGCATTATGAATCATTGGCCTACTGTGTCCTATAGGAGCTGTCTCAGATGCAGACTCACATCAGCGAAACCAACGTCATCCTGTCCATGGACAACAACCGCAGCCTCAACCTGGATGGCATCATTGCCGAAGTTAAGGCCCAGTATGAAGACATTGCCCAAAGGAGTAAAGCTGAGGCTGAGTCCCTGTACCAGACTAAGGTGAATGCCTGATTGCCTAGCCAGTTCCCTGAAATTGTCTCCCCTTGCTTATCTTATATTTGTGTGCCCAAGAATGCAGGGCTCTGCTCTCAGCTAACTCCTATGACCTACCATCTTTAGTATGAAGAGCTGCAGATCACAGCTGGCAAACATGGTGACAGTGTGAAAAACTCAAAGATGGAGATTTCTGAGCTGAATCGAATAATCCAGAGACTTAGATCTGAAATTGACAGCGTCAAGAAGCAGGTATTTTCTTGCCCATGCTCAGCTGCATGGAAAAGCAGTAACTATCAGAAAATGGGGGTCTTTTCTAGTTTTAAGTCTTACAGTCCATACCAAGGTGACATAGTAACCTCAATTCCTTTGGTGACTATTGGTTTCCAGAATGTAGCTACCATGTGGGATTTTCTTATGAAAAATTTGTCTTAGTAGAAAAGATGCGGTAATCAGTATGAATGATGTAGCCCATGACCAAAGTAAGATTTCAGAGTTGAGGAAGAGAGGAAAGGAAGTGAGGTGGTCAGGGTTGGGAGATGCTGTGGGATCACCTCTAACATGGTTGAAGGAAGTCAACCATGTTTCTATCCAGAGGTGACATAAGGTCTGGCAGTCCTGCAGGATGTAGTCCATTGGCTCCAGCAGGTGGGAGATGTGATGTGCAATGGGAAGGTCAACATGGGGTTAGGCAGTCTGAACAGGTATGACACCTTTTTCCCCCTTTCTCAGATCAGCAACGTGCAGCAGTCCATTAGTGATGCCGAGCAGCGTGGCGAGAACGCACTCAAGGATGCCCAGAACAAACTGAATGAGCTGGAGGATGCCCTGCAGCAGGCCAAGGAGGACCTGGCCCGGCTGCTGCGCGACTACCAGGAGCTAATGAACACCAAGCTGGCCCTGGACATGGAGATCGCCACCTACAGGACCCTCCTGGAAGGAGAGGAGAGCAGGTGAGGAGGCCTCTCCCTAGCGTTCTAGGACTTCCTTCCTTGCAACCTGACTTGCTGAAGACAGCTGTCAGAGCGCTGCTCCTCCTGGGTTAGGGGAAGTGAAAGACAGACAGAGAGGAGCAAAGGTCTGGCTTCACGCTGGGGTCAGGGCCCCAGAGCTGCAAGCTTTGCTTTGCTTTTTGCTTTTTTCTCTTCTCTTCTCTTCTCTTCTCTTCTCTTCTCTTCTCTTCTCTTCTCTTCTCTTCTCTTCTCTTCTCTTCTCTTCTCTTCTCTTCTCTTCTCTTCTC